CTCAAAGCTGTCGGGAAGAAGCACGATGATGGCAAGACCGACAGCCAGGGAAATCACACCCTCAATGAGGAACAGCCATCTCCATCCTGCCAGACCGCTCGCGCCGTGCAGACTAGTCAGACCGTATGCGAGCAGACCACCGAAGGCACCTGAAAGAGCTGCGGCGACGAAGAGGTAGGAGATCCGGCGGGCCTGCTCCTCACGCTTGTAGAATGTGCTGAGGTAGAGCGTCAGGCATGGAAACAAGCCACTCTCGAACATGCCGATGAGCAAACGCGTCGCGAGGAGACTGGCGTAGTTGGTTACGAAGGCGGAGCCGACGACGGTGGCGCTCCACGCGAGGATGAAGAAGGGGATCAGGCGGCTCGGGCGGGCTTTCTTGAGGATGAGGGAGGCGGGGATCTCGAAGGTGATGTAGGTTACTGGAGGTTGCGTCAGGTTTGTTCACCTGGCGGGAAAGGGGTTGAGGTTGATAACTTACCATAGAAGACTGTGACCGCGACGTTGAGTCTGTTGCCGGTCAGGTTCAAGTCTTCGTTCATGCCTGCGATCGCCGCATTGCCTGTAGTCAACTTGTTAGCAATTGAGATCAATACTATGGAGCAATCGACGGCGACCTACCAATGTTACTGCGATCTAAGTACGCAACCAAGAAGCAGATAATCATCATCGGCGCAAGCCAAAAGTCCAACTTTCTCAATAGCTTCTTCTCCGCTATGGGATCAATCGTCAGGTGGGAGCTCGCATCCACCGAATGGGGCGAATCAACGTCGCCATCTTTGGCTTCCATTGGCACCTTTTCCACGGACATTGTCGTCGAAGCTGGTCTTCAAAGTCTACTTGAATCGACAAGTTGAAGTTGTCGTCGGTGGTGCAGACTTAGCTTGGACTGATCAACATCCTTTCAATTGACCGAATCCACCGGCTATGCATTAGACATATATCTAATCCAAACATGCATCGTCAAAGGCAGCCAAGCCAAGAGTGAGGTCACCGGATTCACCTATCTAGCCAACCCACGAATTTCCCGACGCTAGCGCTATCATCACACTCCTCTGCGTCGGGAATTGTCCGCAGTTATCAATGGCGTCGGCTGATGATCCATGCAAATTAGCGGGGATGCCACCAAAAAGCCGGGGAAACATGCCAGGATCGCTTATCATGCGGCCTGTCTTTTTCGATGGGTTAGGGAGCCAAGAATCTGCCCTCGGTCAAGTGTGGGGGATCTCTCAGCGATAACAAAGGAGGAGCTGCGCCGTCGCGTGAAGAATTATGAAAAGGCCGACATCGCCTCGACCCAAAATCTCCCCCCGTTAGGCCCCATTTCCCCGATCTCAGAAGCCCCAACCACCGGGCGCATCTTTTCGGCATTCTCTCCGGCCAGACGCGGCCCAGATTCGATGGATTCGACGTCGTCCCCTGCGGCTAACGTCCCGAACGCGAAAAGTCCGATTTCTCGGAAGAGGAAGCGAGGGAGGCATGCTGTCGCGTGCGAGTCGTGTCATCGGCGAAAGCAAAGGGTGAGTGATAGGCCATTTCTGATTGTTGTCTTGGCGCGACCTGTTTCTTGAGTCTTTGCGATACGCATCTTGGTGCATGTCGTTCTTGGATTGTTTGTTTTCGGACAAACGGCAATTGTTCAGCAGGATGCAGAGACTGCTGATGCTGATGCCTTGACCGTCTCTTACTGACTCGACAATCTCAGTGCAACGGATCTCGACCATGCTTCAACTGCGAACGTCGAGGAGTAGGCGCGTCATGCTCATACAGCCATCTGGAAGATGATGGTGAAAGACCTGCTCAACGATCCCGACCTCCAATCCTCTCACCAGTCGTCAGTTTCGCAACACCAGTTTCCCCGACGACAACACCATCAATCCCGACTCAAGAGCCCGAACGCCAGGACGAGTCTTCATCGGGATCCGGGGCAATTCCGTCGAGGTCCTCAAGTAGCGGAGGCGGCAGACGGCAAGGCGAGAGCGGACAAGACCAGCCGACCGAATATACCGTCGGCAATCTCTTCAAAAGCCGCGACGCGCCATCATTCTTCGGATCATCGTACTTCGGCCCTCAAGCAGCGGCAAAGATTATTCAGGCTCCGGCACCTGAGCTTTCTTCGGGGCTGTCTCAGAAGGCTCAGGCTAGCTCAACACATTCGTTCCGCGACGAGGGCGGACCGTTCTCTCAGATATGGGAGCTGCTTGGCTTATTGCCGAGGAGGAAAACGACAGTTGACAGATTGACGGACTGCTTTCTGAACGAACTCAACTGGGCTATCGACGCAGTCCAGCCAACGTCTTTCAAGGCCAAGTATGAGAACTTTTGGTCTAGGAAGTTTGGCTTTGATGACTTCGCAACCATTGACCTGAGATGGCTGGCGTTGCTGTTCATTGTGATGGCTTATGGTGTCCTCCTTGACTGTCCAAAACCACGAAACAAAGAAGTTCAAAGAGAAGTTCATGAGACTTCGCAAAGGTTTTACTGGGCCGCGAGAAGAGCCATCGTCATCGCCCCCACCTTCTATGGCGAATCGACGGACCTCGTCAGAGCTGGAGTGTTGGTGACTCGTTATCTCATCTACACTCGTCGCGTACCGGAGTCATGGCTGACCACCAGCTTTGCCATGCGCATGGCCCAGGCGCAGGGGATGCATATTGATGGCGAACGATGGAGGTTGCCCAGGAAGGAGACCGAGACAAGGCGACGTTTATGGAGCAATCTCTACATGCTCGACAAGACAATCGCGCTCGCGCTCGGAAGACCCTTTGCCATCGTTGATCAGCAATGCATGGTCAAGCCGGCGTCTAACGTGTGGCTGGATGATTTGAATGACGACGAAGCGGCGAATGTCACTGAGGCACCTCTGTCCGAGCCTACCCCAAGCGTTTTCAGTCGACTTGCTCATGAGCTGGCCGTGGTTGTTGGCAAGATTCAGGAACGATGCTTCGGATTATTTACGGTATCCTACGAGACAGTCTTGACGTTGGACAAAGAGATCGAGACCTGGAGAGGCAGGCTGCCGCCATATTTCGAACTCGACGACCCCGATACATCAAAGGACGAGCGACTTCCTTTCCTACCATGGCAACGACTTCACCTTCATAGCATGTACCATTTTGCCCGAGTCACTCTCCACCGACCTTTTCTCTTGCGGCAATCCATCACCAACCGATACAAGCACAGCCACGACGTCTGCATTGCCTCAGCCTGCGCGGATCTGGGGATGGGCCTCAAGATGTTCAGTCAGCCTCTCAACGACAGATTGAAATGGAGCCTCGGTCCCCACAATCTCTTTAACAGCGCCTTGGTGCTTGGTATCATCGCCGTCCGGGATCCTCATTCTCGCAGGTCTCAGGCCATTCTTGAAGACTTGGCTGCGTACTGCGAGATGCAGAGAAACGACGTCTGGCTCAACGAGTTCGCCCTAGCTGAAGTCAAGATAGTTGAGCTGTGCGTGAAGAAGGCGAGGCAATCTCAACCACCGGCGCCCAACCCGATGGTACCCCTGGCTTTGGCATCTCCAGCTGAACGGCCCATGACATCCTCTGGGCCTCAGACTGTGATGGCCACGCAACCTCAGTTACCGGTCGAGAGTCCGGATTTCGACCCCTTGCTCGTTGGACTTGGGCTGCCGTACAGCACCTCAAGCGCTCAGATGACCTGGGATGATCCGGGATTCTTCTTGCCCGAGAGTGGAGACTTGTCGCAATGGGAGCATGTCATCAACACGATTATGCATGATCAAACGAATATTTAGAGCTCTAAGTGCGCATGGAAAACATGAAGTCATCTTCTCTGGCAGAACAAAATCGCAACCGTCGTACACAGGGTATCCCACCACTCACTCGCTCCATGCCACCATCGGCTTTCTGAAGAATTTGCGGTACAGCGGAGGCAAGCCACACATAGCCCAAACAGTATCGCCCGAACCACAAGCAGGATCATGACCTCCGACATATCCAAGACGACCCTTTCCAATCTTGCCAAAAGCCGCAGGAACGCCGACCGAAATACCCTTACAGCAAGGCCCAAAGAAAGTCTCTCCATTCTTGAGCCTCTTGCATTCAGGCTGTCCGACGTACCAAGCCTCATGGAAGCCGACCTCTGTCAAATAAAACGATTGGCAACAGATGAAATCATTTGGAAGCCCTGTCGAGCCCACCTGGTCTGCGTCTCTGTTCAGCATAGCAGAGAGTCCCTCCGGGCACGCTCTCGCCCGCCAGTTCAAACCGGCCAGCAAGAAGAACGAGTTGACTTCCACTTCGACTAGGACGTACGAGAAAAACCCCATCGCGATCGCGGTGCCTCCTTGGTGCACATACGCCAAGACGGAGTACCAGACGTGGCCGTTCTCGGGACGTGCGAGGCCGCCGTCGGTTATGAGGACGACTTTCGGGGGCGTGCTCTGTTGCAAGACTTGAATGGCGGTTTCTGGCTCTGTGGCTACTTGGAGAGTGACATGGTGCGCTGCTTCACTATAGAATGGGCGCCAGTACTCGTCATGGATTTCGTGGTGAAGCAGAGAGATTGCCAAGAGGCGTGGCTTTCGTGGCACCCAGGTTGTATGCATCATGCCTGGAATGATAAGTTAACATGTGGGAGGTGATGAGAGTTGGGAATGGCACTCACAAAAGCTGATGGTATTGTTGAACGGTACTGCCTAAACTGAAGTCGTTGAGCTGGCAACCTGTTCGAATTTGGCCCCTGATCAAACCTTTTCTTATGTGAAGATGCCATCATCACTTTTCACAAATACTTGTTCCACAGCATAAGACTACCTGAGCAGTGGCCAGCATGTCTGAGATACATGACAATGAAATGCCGTCTTCCTGGTTCCTGGTCGCAGTAGTTGTAAAGCGGAAGCAAAATTGTCAAACACGATCCTGACTTGAACAAAGGCAACTAATAAAGACCCCCGGAGACAGCAAAACATAGACTCATGAGAGTGAAAACACATCTAGTTTATTCTTGCCTCAATATCTGATATCTCATCAAGATGACTATTTGAGGTCCTTGGCTTGAAGTTCCACAATCTCTCCAATAAGATCCATGAGCTTCGGCTGGACAGGGTTCCACCCCAAACACTTTCTGGCGCGGGTCGAAAGACCTCTGGAGTTTGAGCCCCATTTGTAGGGACCCGCAGGGTCTACTTTGTCAGTGCCGTCCCAGTCAAGAACATCTAGCTCCGATGTCTTGATCAATCCTTTCTCAAAGGCCTCCTGCGCAACGGCCTTCTCCACGTCACCCCACGAGAAGCTTCCGTTCTCAGCAAGGTAGTATCCCTCATCGTCCCATGTCGCCTTGCCTCCACCACTAGCCGCAGCCTCAGCTAGAGCCAGGTACAGGTTGCTGAGGTCTTGGATGTGAACCTGATGCCAGATATTTTCGCCGTCTCCGATTCTGATTCCCTTCCCTCTTTTCAACACGATGGTGGCTAGTGTGTATACCTGTACGCTCTTGGTGTTTCCCGGGCCTCTTCCTGGGCCGTAGATGCAGCAGGGGCAGACAATGGCTGTCTTGAAGTTCTTTGACGGCAACGCGATTGTCTCAGTCACAATCTTGTCCACGTTTCGGTGAAAGGCGTCGTCTGGAAGATTCAGAAGTTCCGAAACACCATCCCAGTCATCGTACACCTTTGTACGGTGTGTTCCACATGTCTTGGCTCTGCCGTCTTCAACGGTCAAGATGCCTGTTCCCGAAGTGTGGATGTACCATCCTGGCCGCTCTGTAGGATGGAGCTTGAGGCCTTCAATGAAGGCTCTGGCAGATTCCTCGTGGTCGCAATCGGCGAAATCTTGTTTCATGTCAGACAGAATACCTTTTGGATGGTGGAAAACTTACGAAGAACTATGTCTGCGGCCGAAGCCTCCTCCCGCAGCACGTCTACGGAGTCGAGGTCTCCAAGGACAGGCCTAACATTTGGGAAAGCCTTTCGTAGAATCGCTGCTTTCTCCTGGTTTCGAACAAGCGCAGAGAAGCTCCATTCTGGGTGAGCATGATAGGCTGCATAGAGGAAGTCTCCTCCGATGTATCCGGTCGCTCCCGTTCTTTCGCCCTGTCAGCCGCAGCTCCGTTGTTTGAGGAATGACTTACACGAATACTTTGGGCGATGCCATTATCACGGACAAATGTAAAGACCTTAGTTCAAAACTGAGACCACAACGTATGAAGGTACTTAATATTGAAGTGCGTTTTCGGTTGAAGTTGCGTTGTCCTTGGAGAAATATACCTCTGCAGCGCCTTACGAGCCCGCCTTATGACATAACAGACAACTCATGATGGACCTCGTAGGCTGGTTCGTTCGGACTAGCCCCACAACGTATGCATGCCCAGTTCATATTAGTAATGCTAGAAGGAACTCATATTCCGTTGACCAACAACGTGAGGACTGTTCTCCCTCAGTGTACTCCGTTGACCTTGACCTCAGTAACACCATTGACGCCGTTAACCGCCTTGGCCCCATTCACGTCATTTGTTGCTTTCTGCGGCTTTTCCTCATATACGACCTTGTTGACAAGACTGCCAAGACCATGGCTCATGAAAATTCGGAGGTCATCGCCGGGTGCCAGAAACACAGGCGGAGTCCTGCTCACACCAATGCCGTGAGGCGTTCCCGTCATGATCACTGTTCCCGCTTCCAACGTGGTCCCCTGCGACAGGTATGCCACAATCTCAGCAATTGAGAAAATCATGTCGTCGCCTCTACCTTCTTGCATGACCTCGCCGTTAAGAACTGTCTTCAGTTCGATGACAGACGGGTCTGGGATGCTGCTCGTGCTGACGAGACACGGACCCATCGGCGCAAAGCCGTCGAATCCCTTGCCGAAGCCCCACTGCGCGCCGGCGAACTGGTGTTTCCTCCCGGTCACGTCGTTTGAGCACATGTAACCCAGAACGTAGTCCATGGCATCTTCGACACTGACATTCCTCGCGTCACGGCCAATCACCACAGCGAGCTCTGCTTCATAGTCTGCTTGGGCATCGGTTGCCTGGTGGGGAATTACTAGCGGGGCATTTGATGCGTTCAAGCAGCTTGCCGGCTTGAAGAACAGAGTTGGGTGCTCTGGGAGCTCGAGGTTCATCTCCTTGGCGTGTTTGCGGTAGTTGAGACCGATGCATCGAATGGTGCCGACCTCTTTCCGTGTCAGAGGAGGCAGGAGCTTCTGGATGTTGAGGACTTTGTGGGTTGGCTCTGCTGAGGCATCAAGTGCTGATGTGCCGGAGAAGACACGGACACGGACGGGAGTTGACGCCGCAAGGGCCGCTCCAACTTCCGGGGTGTGAGTAAAATGATGATCATTGAGAGTCGGGAAATCTTACCATCGACATTTTCATCCATGGGTTCGCCGATGTACTCCCTCCAGTCATCCTCGGCGATGAACCGTACCAAACGCTTCCATTTCTGGTCATTGCCGTTAGATAATCTCATAAATGTTGCCTTGGTAAGTGACGCCTTACCGGTGCTACCATCTTGACTCTTGACCGTTTCTTGGCAGTTTTCCCAGTACCTCAAAAAAGCTTATCAAAACGGAAGGGGAAGAAAGCAAGTTTGTTTGCATGCGGTGAGGGGAACCTCTGAGCCCCTGATTTGGCCCAACGGATATAAACACGAGAAATCCATCACTGATGCCTTTGCGTGATTGGCATGTCGCTCATGCATGCCTCTCCGGTCAACGTCCGTCATCATGGCCAATTCCCGAAGGCGTCGGGAAAATCGATCGGCTTTTGGACAAATACGGGAATCCGGATCCGCCCAAGATAAGCGTCGGCCTTGGGAACCCCGCAAACCCACATGTCCAAGATCAAAGGTGGTTTGGCAGATTGATAAAGGCGAGTTGGCAATTAGGTAACTATCAGTCAATTATCCGGGGAGAAAACGTGGCTCGGGGTCTTTTAGGTCTGAGGATGTCTGTCCTGTTCCTGATCCCTTGATCCGGGACGCCTTCTCCGGGTGGGTCTCGATCTTTGGCCCGAGCTGTTGGGTTGATTCGGCCGATGCGTGCTTCTCCGCCTCTACTCGTCAACTCATCGCGGCAACGTCTCGCAAGTCTTTTTTTCTTTCATAACTTCGACCGTTTTCAGAAAGGAATATGGAATTTGGATTGCCCTTTCATTGAAACTGAGAGGTTCTCCCATTACGGGCCAGGCTACCAAGGTGCGTAGCTCGGCCGGTCCTCGGTCAACAAACAAAACCTGACCCACGGGTGAGTCACAACACGCTCCACTGGGTCACCTCTTAGGGCACTTGTGGTTCACAAGTTTTCAACAAGCAACAAGCACGGTAGCTCAGGGGTAGAGCGCTGGGCTCATAACCCAGAGGTCCCTGGATCGAAACCAGGTCGTGCTATCATCACTTTTTTGCTGATGCCCCAAACATCTCAAGTCTCCTAATGTTCAACTCTTTAGCGACCGTGAGCCTTGCTCAGGGCTGTTGAAGTAGCGACGGTCCCTTGGGACCCAGCTTCCATTTCATCTTTAACTCCGATCTCTTTCTAAAGTTTGAGTTGGTGAAATTCAATCATTATCATTTCTCGTGGGTGGCCTACTGGCGTACGGGTCGATGGAACCAAAGCCTTTCGGATCAAGCTTGACGCAAGAAAAGGCGACCTATTCCCTTTGGCTTCTGAAATGGCCACCCTCAACATGACCCGCAGCAGACAATGCCAACGCACAATGACCGAGTCAAAGACACCTTGGGTCTCGGTGATTTAGATCGAAACGTCTTCTGAAGAAGATCGGACTCGATATAAAAACACAACAATGAAATGTGAGCGATTTCGAGTAACCCAGTATCCAGGGTTTGATGCCAGAATATTCTTCAACCGAAATTCAAAACTTACTTCAACTTCAGCATTTCTTCGCAAAGTGAGACGCAAGTCATTCGATCAAGATCATTGAAACCTCATCCCTTGTTGCCACATCCACCATGGAGCCTCCGTCGACTCCAGACTACTACAAAGACTTAGGCATAGGTCTGGGAGCAACAACGGAAGAGATACGTCGAGCCCACAACGAGCTTGCCCTCAAATACCACCCTGATAAGCAAGCACCTGGTGCGGCCGATGACAATTTCAAAAGGGTATCCAGCTCAGTTTTGCAATGTCAGCGGCGCTTTTGGTTGGTAGCAAAAGGCTAATTGTGCATAGATTCGAGAGGCGTACGAATGCCTATCAGATCCCCTCAAGAGAGCGAGTTATCATACCGGCCTCGCTCGTTCCCTCGCCCAGTGGATAGAACACAGAGCATGGCAACAAGAGGAATTGAGAGGAGCAATCGCAAGCTTGCGATCTTGGGACGAGGAGCAGCAACGTAAGGAGAAAAGGGCTCTCCTGGACGACCTCTGCGACCATTTGCGAGAATGGAAAGAACGAAAAATGCCAAATGCTTCCGGCGATGACTTTTTTAGAGTGATGAAATCCTTGATAAAGCGTGAAAGAGGCGGCTGAAAGCGAGACTCTCTTCAACCCTTGACCAGGAAACCAAAGGCTACCTTCCAGGAGAACAATTCGCGGCGGATCTACGACTACGCTAAAGACGACGACAGAGAACGGGGCAGAGGACGACGATGAGAGATAGGTTATAACGGTGATGAGGGACGACGACGGCGTAGAGGGACGCTGAAGAGGCGGAGGAATGACGACGACAGGGACGACGGTAGATAACGGCAAGGGGTAAAAGGAATGTAGTCAGTCGACATAGCAGGCCATTACTTGGAAGTCGTGCATAATCTAAACCCTCAATGGAAAGTCTTACGATGTCACACCCTTGATGATATGACAGGAAAGCCCTCTGTGGCTATGTTTCATGGTACAAAAACTACTTTACACAAATCTGACACTCGGTCTTGCTTAGAAGAGAGGCTTCCCTGATTTCTTGCACTTGGGACAGGCCAGCAGGTTGCAGCCAAGACACTTGTACATGTATGTGACCTTTTTCTGTTCGCATGATCCACACGTCCCTCTTCCCTTCTTCTTCTCCCAGGCCGAGCATGGGTAGCGGCAGTTCTTCTTCTCATCTTCTCCACACGTATTCTCATTTTCTTGAAATTTCTTCAACCGTTCCTTGGCAGCCTTGTCGCGTTCCATCCGGTCATTCTCTGCAGCCTTGGTTGATCTTCGGTCAGCTGCGTCTTGCTTCTGTTGGCGCTCGAATCGCTTCTTTGCAGCTTCATCTTGCTCTTTCCAAGCCTTCCGAGCCGCCTTTCTGGATTCCCAATCTGCTCTTCTCTGCTTTTCCAATTTGCGGTCCGCTTCACGCTGTCGACGCTTTCTCTCGCGCTGCGCCTCCCGTTCCTTCCGGGCTTCCTCTCGTTTCTGCTGGCTTTTGATCTCTTCTTGCTGGTTCCATGCATCTCGGCGTGCGTTGAGGTCCTTCAAAGCTTCTCTCTCCTCTTCGGCCTGGTTTTGAGCTGTGATGTTCTCCTCCGACTGTCGCCAGACGTCCCAGCGATCAATAGAATCCTGCACTACCTTGGCCTCCTCTTCTGCTCGTGTTCGAGCAGCCTCCTGAAATTCCTCGTTCATTCGGGCATTCCATCGTTGGTCGATCTCTTCCATGGCCTTGGTCTTCTCCTGTTGCCACGCTGCCAAGCTCTCTTGTCGCTTTTGTTCTTGGGAGACGCTGAGACGTTGATGTAGCTCACTGACGAGTCGATTCTGGTCTGGAATCCGGATTTGCTCGATGTATGTCTCACGCTTGGTTCGAATCTCATCGAACTTCAATGCGACCTGACGTTTGATGCGCTTCTCTTCGCGTATGAACATCCATTTTTGATATTCATGATTTGCATCATACGGATAAAAGGCCCTCTTCATCAGACGATTCGTATTCACTCTCTTCGTCCCATTCGCTTTCTTCACCGGGCCATTCGCATTCGCTCTGCTCATCAGGCCGGCGTTCCGGATCACCGCGGTAGCGTTCCCAGGCAACTCTAACACTCTCGTAGTTTTCGTCATACTTTGCGCGCTTCTGAGGATCTCGAAGAATTTCGTAGGCTTCACGGGCCTGTATATTGCGTGCTTGTCAGAAAACGGACATACAATATCACAGAATGCTATCAAGTAGGACAAAAGGAACCAACATACCTTTCTGAACTCAAATGCATCTTCACAAGTTCCGGGAGCATGTTTGTCCGGATGGTGTTGCAAGACGAGATCGCGATGGGCTCTCTTGATCTCGTGCGCTGTCGCATATTCTCCGACACCAAGATCGGCGTAGTAGTCGGGTGTCTCGGGTGGATCCATCTTGAGTAGAGAAAGAACTTGGGTCGGACAGAAGAAAGATTCGGGAGGCTGCGAAGAAAACTCGGTTTGTTGATACAATTCTGGTCAAGATGAATGCCCAGAATCCACCACTGCTTCACAGGGAAAACCAGGGAGTCCGCGACGGGCGGCGCTTCGTGCAGTTTATTGCTTCAGTCGTATATTGATGTCGATGCGGCAATGTTGGTTGTGATAATTTTGCCTGGGGAGCACAGGACACACGTTGGAATTGTGAAGCCCAGTTGCTGTGAGAAAGATGAGGTAGCGGGAACGGGAGGCCGACCTTCAGACGTGGAGACCCACAGGGAGTCAAGGACGTCTTCGCATGTGTTTATTTTTCAAGTCCCTTCCAAGTTTTGCTCACTCTGGCGCTGTAAAATTCAGCGCCTGAACATATGAGCTACACCTTTTCTTTTGTTGAGACCTTAGTAGGCGGTGAAAATGTCTCGCCTGGTACGTCTGCCCTCGCACAGTCGGTCGTGGTGCTGTTAGCGGGAAGGTGCACCCGTCGCCCCCATCGTTGGCGTCTTCCTCATCACCGCTGCAATTAGAATCTACTTACGTAGTATCAAGTATAACTAGAATCTGTATCCGAACTGTAGTCCAAAGATCACTATCGTCGTGTCATTTCACTATCTAGGCAAATACGAAACATACACCCAACACCGGATCAATGCCAAAACTCAATCCATCTCCATTACAATTACATGCCATATTTCATTTCAAATCCAGTTGAGCGACATGACTGGTTTAGGTTTTGTCAGACCATGATTTCACTTCGGATCAAGCTTAATGCACACATTGGACATCCGGAGTGCGACATCGCCATCCTCTCGTGGCATGATCCGCAGCCTACCGCGCCCACTTGGGCCACTTCCTCAGTCCAACCAAACCAAGCATGGCCGCATCTTGCGTGACTATATTTTCTTTACAACATGGAAGCCACCGTGTGCTCGTTCAAGTGCACTTGTTCGCGTTGTGTTTTGGCCATCTTGATTATTTTCTTTGATCGCTCCCTGGTCTCGAATTGTTGAAGATTACGGCGTTCTCTAGCAACCTTCTCTCTTCTCTTTCTCTCCTTCTGCCGCGTGGCTTCCCGCGCTTCGAGTTTCAGCTACCTCTCTGCCTCTGCTTTTTCGAGATTCCTCTTTGCATGTATGACTTTCTGGTACGCTTCTCGGTTCTCTTTTCCTTGCCCCTGCTGATCTTCAGTCTTTGCTGCTCCGCCTTCCAATGAGCTCGACCCTTCTTGTCTTCCTCTTATCCTTTCATTGCTGCGGCTTTCGATTTCGGTTCCCTTTTAATTGCTGTGGACTTTTCTGTTTCATGTTAGCTGGACCATCTATTTCTCAGCAGCCCAGCAAGAAACCAGCCTGTCTCGCTCAGCTCGTAGGTAGGGTTCCCATGCATACTCTCCACATAGCTGTCGAGCTTGTCGTCGCTACTTCTGAAAACAGCCTCCAGCCAGCAGTGCTGCCTCTCGTCGGATGGCGTCGAGGTGAGCTTGTTCTTCCTGTCGTTGCGTATTTCCTCTCATTTCCTGTCTTCTTTGCAGATCATCCAAGGTCTGCTGGGCGCGCCTTCGAGCCTCGCGCTGCTCGGCCTCTCTTTGCTCCTTATTGGCCTGTCTCCACGCAGCCCTCCGCCTATTGATTCTTTCTCGCCGGGCTTGCTTGCGTGCTTCCTCTCTCTGTCGTTGTTTCTCTACTTTGCGCTGTCTCACTTCCTCTCTTCGCTGATTTTCTTCATCGGTCTCTTGTCGAGCTTCGGCCTCGGCCTGATGTTGAGCCTCGGCTTTTTGCCATTGGCGATGTCTCTCGTAGGATCTTTTCGAGTCGTGGTACGTCGTGTCGTACCTGGTGCGATTTGCTGGGTCTTTCAGGAACTCGAAGACCTCACGAACCTGCAGATGGAGCCACTGTCAGACAAGTACTTGTTCGATGTTGGAAAAAAAAGGAATAGCAAAGAAAATCGTGGAACAGCATCATCAATTGAATTTACACGCACCTTTCGGAACTTGCTAGAGTCGCTGCGGTCCCCGGGTGCCCGTTTGTCTGGGTGGGTGGTTCTAGCCAGAGCCAGAAATGCTCGTCTGATCTCTTGCGAGGTGGCAGTGGGCCTGACGCCCAAGTCGCTGTAATAATCCCGCCACTGCGAGGAATCCATGGCGAAGGAGAGATATTGGGCGGTCGGATGGAAAGCAAAATAGTTGGGATCTTGGCCAATCGGCGTGATGATTCGATCTATTCAAGGTTGGCCTCAGAATTATCGGATGACTTGATTCTGAGTCGCAACGAGGGCGAGCCGGAGCAAGCTCTGAGATGCCGAGTGCTCGTGGGAGAGGTGAGGATGAGGTAGCCCGCGTCTTTTCCGGGCGTTGTTCCCTTTAGGGCGCTTCCAGGTGAAGCGTGTGGACTCAAAAATTCCTCCTGGAAGGTAAGTTGGGTTGTCAACTTTTCGTTGGTTGCGTGGTGTGTCTGCCCTTACTGATGATACTCTCAGCGGGAAGGCGCGACCAACACCGGCCCCACATGAGCTCCTTCCCGCTCCGAAAAGCAGCGGGTGTGGGGCCATCCCGACGTCTTGGCCCGTGCTGGGCGACGGAAGACCCCCTCCACTGGCCCGTGCTTGGCAACGGACGACATTCTCTGCAAGACATGGGATGACCGACGGGATGGGAGAGAAATCACGTGCGGAACAGTTGTTGGTCGACATATATGCGTATCATCCATCAGGGATGCAGCCGTATGACGGCTCACGCTGAGGTTACATTCTACGATCCGCAGTGCCTTACTCGGGTCTTGGAATAAGCATCTCCGCGGCGCCTAGGCTGGAGGTCTCCATGGCGTTTGAGCTTTCCATCTTTTCTCTAATGGTTATTTTTGGATTATATCCCTCTGTGAGACGTCTGTTGAATTGATTCCATCACGATGTAATTACAACGTGTTTTGCCAATACGGGTGGTAACCGCTGCTTCGAGACCTGCCCCTCCAATTTTCCCTTAAAATCGTTCACCTTTTGCACTATTTGAACATAGCTTAAAACGTCGTAAGCTAATAGTCTCTGGCCATCAGCTCATCTACTTGAGGCTAATGCTTTGTCCCAGAGGTCGGTTTCCCCGTTCCCTCCGCCGGGACGACAAGGCTACGGTTTACGCTCCCAGCATATCGGGGGAATATTCAAAAGGGACCTCTCGGGGCTCATTCGTCGATCCAAAGCCATCTGAACTCTTTCCTACTTTTTTTTTAGAACGTATCTTGGCACTTTCGTGTCCCCCAAAGGTCCATTAGGGGAAATGGGGCGGGACTCGGCATTATTGGTGCTTGGCATCTTGGCATCTTGGCCTCTTGGCGGAAATCCCATCGGACGCGTCCACTCGCTGACGATCGCCACTCCGACGACTTGGCGGGGTTCTTGGCCGTTTTACCTCTCGCCGCGAAACTCGAAGCCAGCGGGATGTTTATCTTTCACCCGCACTTTTCACCACAGACACACAGCCTCTTCGATCCCTCTTTGGCACGGCAATTACACTACAGACACTCAGCGAAGCCTATTAACACCCACAATGCATTATTAGCAGCCTCGTTGCATTCCGGTTCCTTTCTTTGGAACTCTGGTGGTTCGTTTTCTCTCAATCTGCAAAGCATCAATCACCAAATAGGGCAGGCCAGCACCATAATTATCTCATGAATCAAGATCTCGGCACTTGCAGAGGTGACCAAAGACATTGTGACGTTGCTCAGGTATCAGCCTCGATCCGTGTTGCGCGCCGTCAGTCGCCGCTTCGGCGAAGTCTCTCCACAGGCCTTGCAGAAACATGAAATGCCGCCCTGGTCGCCGCACTCCGCCGCCCGGCCTCCAATGACGACCGTTGGTGGCGTCGCCTGCTCGCTCAGGAACCGTCTCACCTGAGGCTGGGCATTCTGTCCAACGCGTTGTCTCTCTCGGTGCGCTAGGCGTGATCGGCCGCGCTCGAGACGTTGCCCGTCGGTATGTGGTAGTACCTGACCAAGCTTCGCTCATCGGGGCCTGTTGCAGCACACATTGCCCCTTTCGGCGGTGCCAGGCGTTTTTGACATCGCCAACGTGCAGCCTCCGACAGGGTGGGCGATCCACGTCCACTGCCACCACCCATCCTTCCCCTGGGAAAGTGTCTCAGTAGTCTGCCGTATCTGCCGTATTGAGGAACATCATAATCTTTGTGGACCAACTTAAATAACTTCGGGAAGACCGACTGGTGAGTTGCCAAGCTTTCCCTTCATTCATTTCGATTTTCCCTTTAAACTACTCTTCCTTTCTCGTCGACTTTTCGTTCTTGCATATTTTGTTTGTTTGCCAACGGCGTTTTATCAGAAAAGAAAAAATATCACCATCCCATCTGTCTTGCTGGTCAAGAGATATCCAACCAACACACAAAGCGACCATCCTTCGAACGTTTTCAAGATGCCGACCCTCGATGTTAGCGAGTTGAACATTGTTCTCGGCGTCCTTGGTATGGGCTGATGCGGTTGATCATCAGTCAAGTGGTGTGTACTGACCCTTGTCAAAGGACTGTTCACCTTGCTGTACGGCATCATCTCGGTCAAGATCAAGTGCAAGTGGTACTTGGGTGAAGCCTGTAAGTGACTCACATGTTTGCTTCCATCCAAAGCATATACTAAGCAGCATCCCTCAGTGCCCGCGGTCGCCATCGGTGTCCTACTCGGGCCCTTAGCAGCCAAATTTCTCGACAGCACACGATGGGGTTCCGCAACGGAAGGGCAGACCAACGCCATCACCCTGGTTCGTACCCAACTGCCCCTCCTCCCCAACCCCAGATTTCGATCAAGACCCGATCTGACCAACATGTTGTTACTAGGGCCTCGCTCGCGTGATGATTGGTGTCCAGCTGGTCATCGCAGGCTACCAGCTACCCGCTAAGTACCAGCAACTGCGATGGAAGGAGATGGCCTTGTGTTTGCTTCCCATCATGACCATCATGTGGCTCTGCACTACCCTCTGCATGCTTGCTACGGTGCCCAAGATCACCCTGCTGGCCGCCCTCGTTATCGGCTCCTGTGTCACCTGCACCGACCCCATCCTCTCCCAGGCCATCGCCAAAGGACCCTTCGCCGACAAGTTTGTTGCTCGCCCCCTGCGCGAGATCATTTCATCTGAAGCGGGGGCCAACGATGGTTTTGGTATGTTGACATCCTCATGGAATTGATTCAATCCATCCATCTAATAACCACGCAGGGTTCCCCTTCCTCATGTTGGCAGTCTACCTCATCCGCCATGCCGACATTCCTGGTGCCGGCGAGGGAGGTGAGACCGCTTCGGTCGCCGAGAGAGCCATTAGCCTCTTTGCTCGCTCAGAGGAGGGAGTCGGTCGTCTTGGAGGCGGCGTCGGCGTGGCTCTAACCAACTGGGTCGTCGAGACTTGGCTCTACATTGTCTTCATGTCTGTTGCCATCGGTATTGTTGTCGGCTTTGGCTCCGGTAAGGCATTGAAGTTTGCCCTGCGCAAGCAATGGGTTGACTCCGAGAGCTACCTTCTCTACCCCACCGCCATCGGCGTAAGTCATGAAAGTCTTTGCGTCAACTTCAATCCAACTAACCATGTCTTCACAGCTGTGGCTCGTTGGCATCTGCGGCATGCTCGGCACCGATGACCTCCTTGCTTGCTTCGTCGCCGGTAACGCCATGAACTGGGACGGCGAGTTCCTGGCAGAGACCGAGAAGCGCCACGACGAAGTCAACTCTTGCGTCGACGTCCTCCTTAACTTTGGAGGCTTCATGTACATCGGCACAGTCATGCCCTGGGACCAGTTCAACCAGCCCGACATCACCGGCCTCACCTATGGTCGCCTTTTCGCTCTCGGGGGCTTGGTCCTCCTCTTCCGCCGCATCCCAGCCATCTTGATGTGCTACAAGATCATGCCCAAGGTGTGCCAGAACTGGAAGGAGGCGTTGTTCATGGGCTACTTCGGTCCCATCGGCGCCGGCGCCGTCTTCTACGTCGAGCACACCCGCCACCTCTTCCCGGAGCTTGGTGAGGGTGACGAAGAGGAGACGAACCTCGTCCGCGTGATGATTCCGGTGGTCTACTGGCTGGTGCTCTTCTCGATCGTCGTCCACGGTCTGTCGATCCCCGCGCTGAACCTGATTTACAAGTACGCCGGCGTCAAGCCTATCCAGGAGGACGCCGTCGAGCTGCGTCGTGTGTCGATGCATGTGCCCACGCCGAAGAATGCCACGGTTGGCGACCGCGACACATTCATCGCGTACAACCGGTTCTCGCGTCCTGTGTTCAACACCGCTGAGCTGCCGTACTTGACGAACAACCAGAAGATGTACACCCATGACGAAAAGTCTTTTGACAGCTTGGGAAAATAGATTCGGAACAAAACTTTTGGAGAGATAGAACTACATGGCAATCGGGAAATAGGATCAAATTGTAAAGCTTCTTGCCCTTTGGACGGGCAATCAACATCGCATAGCTTTAGTCGATTCAGTTTCTCATCTACTCTCCATCTGTTGTTCGAGTCAAGCTACTTTGATATTATAAGTGTTCCTGTGGGTTCTTCAGTGACAACCTAAAGGATACAAATGACAAAGAAACGGGCAAGTCATTTCGGCGCCTTTGGCCTCCGCCATCCAATACGTCTGGTCGCCGCAGTACTCTCAGCAGGAAGGTGCAGTCAAGCTTGGCCCCACATACATAAGTGCCTTCCCTCCGGTGCGCTCTAAGCAATGGAAACGGGTGGGGCCATGCTGCTACCGCATCTTCGAAATCTCACCTTCGCTGACGAACTTTTGTTTTGACGACACCACTCTCGCCTCGACAAAGTTTTCACCGCTTGTCTTTTTCTGTTTTCCGTACATCGACACGTCCTTGTCAGGCCACCAAACTCATCATGACGAATCTGCTCGATCTCCCTGCTGAGATCCTCACCCAGATTTGCGAGCAGCTCTGCTACCACTGCCGAAACCCGAGGCACTTCGTAAATGCCGATGAGGAGGAATCCATCGAAGACAAGCGCGCCTTGGCAAAGTTGTGTCGCACCAGCCGCACCCTGCTCAACCTGGGGCAGCCAGTGCTCTACCACTACTACGCGACTGGAAATCTGGCTCCGGTTGTGGACAACGGAATCGAAAGACACAGCGTTCCATGGCGAATGCCAAAT